TCATCAACTAACTGCTTAGAATCATCAATTAACTGCTTAGACTCATCAACTAACTGCTTAGACTCATCAATTAACTGCTTAGACTCATCAACTAACTGTTTAGACTCATCAATTAACTGCTTAGACTCATCAACTAACTGCTTAGACTCATCAACTAACTGCTTAGACTCATCAACTAACTGCTTAGACTCATCAATTAACTGCTTAGACTCATCAATTAACTGTTTAGACTCATCAATTAACTGCTTAGACTCATCAACTAACTGCTTAGACTAATCAATTAACTGCTTAGACTCATCAATTAACTGCTTAGACTCATCAACTAACTGCTTAGACTCATCAACTAACTGCTTAGACTCATCAATTAACTGCTTAGACTCATCAATTAACTGCTTAGACTCATCAATTAACTGCTTAGACTCATCAACTAACTGCTTAGACTCATCAATTAACTGCTTAGACTCATCAACTAACTGCTTAGACTCATCAACTAACTGCTTAGACTCATCAATTAACTGCTTAGACTCATCAACTAACTGCTTAGACTCATCAACTAACTGCTTAGACTCATCAACTAACTGCTTAGACTCATCAACTAACTGCTTAGACTCATCAATTAACTGCTTAGACTCATCAACTAACTGCTTAGACTCATCAACTAACTGCTTAGACTCATCAACTAACTGTTTAGACTCATCAATTAACTGCTTAGACTCATCAATTAACTGCTTAGACTCATCAACTAACTGCTTAGACTCATCAATTAACTGCTTAGACTCATCAATTAACTGCTTAGACTCATCAACTAACTGCTTAGACTCATCAACTAACTGCTTAGACTCATCAATTAACTGCTTAGACTCATCAATTAACTGCTTAGACTCATCAACTAACTGCTTAGACTTCATCAACTAACTGCTTAGACTCATCAATTAACTGCTTAGACTCATCAATTAACTGCTTAGACTCATCAACTAACTGCTTAGACTCATCAACTAACTGCTTAGACTCATCAACTAACTGCTTAGACTCATCAATTAACTGCTTAGACTCATCAACTAACTGCTTAGACTCATCAACTAACTGCTTAGACTCATCAACTAACTGCTTAGACTCATCAACTAACTGCTTAGACTCATCAACTAACTGCTTAGACTCATCAACTAACTGTTTAGACTCATCAATTAACTGCTTAGACTCATCAATTAACTGCTTAGACTCATCAACTAACTGCTTAGACTCATCAATTAACTGCTTAGACTCATCAATTAACTGCTTAGACTCATCAACTAACTGCTTAGACTCATCAACTAACTGCTTAGACTCATCAACTAACTGCTTAGACTCATCAATTAACTGCTTAGACTCATCAACTAACTGCTTAGACTCATCAAATTAACTGCTTAGACTCATCAACTAACTGCTTAGACTCATCAATAACTGCTTAGACTCATCAACTAACTGCTTAGACTCATCAACTAACTGTTTAGACTCATCAATTAACTGCTTAGACTCATCAACTAACTGCTTAGACTCATCAATTAACTGCTTAGACTCATCAACTAACTGCTTAGACTCATCAATTAACTGCTTAGACTCATCAACTAACTGCTTAGACTCATCAACTAACTGTTTAGACTCATCAATTAACTGCTTAGACTCATCAACTAACTGCTTAGACTCATCAACTAACTGCTTAGACTCATCAATTAACTGCTTAGACTCATCAACTAACTGCTTAGACTCATCAATTAACTGCTTAGACTCATCAACTAACTGCTTAGACTCATCAACTAACTGCTTAGACTCATCAATTAACTGCTTAGACTCATCAACTAACTGCTTAGACTCATCAATTAACTGCTTAGACTCATCAACTAACTGCTTAGACTCATCAATTAACTGCTTAGACTCATCAACTAACTGCTTAGACTCATCAATTAACTGCTTAGACTCATCAACTAACTGTTTAGACTCATCAACTAACTGCTTAGACTCATCAATTAACTGCTTAGACTCATCAACTAACTGCTTAGACTCATCAACTAACTGCTTAGACTCATCAATTAACTGCTTAGACTCATCAACTAACTGCTTAGACTCATCAACTAACTGCTTAGACTCATCAATTAACTGCTTAGACTCATCAACTAACTGCTTAGACTCATCAACTAACTGTTTAGACTCATCAATTAACTGCTTAGACTCATCAATTAACTGCTTAGACTCATCAACTAACTGTTTAGACTCATCAATTAACTGCTTAGACTCATCAATTAACTGCTTAGACTCATCAATTAACTGCAGTTCAAACGATCCTGAAGAGAAGGAAGACATCAATGCAAAATAAACTCAATTCCCAGAGAAATAAATATAGAAACGCATTTCTTTTTAAACATTTAAGGACCATTTATTTTCACTGAACACATGGAAACATCTCCATCGCCACGACGTCACACACACACACACACACACACACACACACACACACACACACACACACACACACACACACACACACACACACACACACACACACACACACACACACACACACACACACCACACACACACACACACACACACACACACACACACACACACACACACACACACACACACACCACACACACCCACACACACACACACACACACACACACACACACACACACACACACACACACACACACACACACACACACACACACACACACACACACACACACACACACACACACACACACACACACACACACACACACACACACACACACACACACACACACACACACACACACACACACACACACACACACACACACACACACACACACACACACACACACACAGTTCTTCCAGCTAGATCAGATTGAAAGTCTTTTCTCCAAATGTCTGCAGGATCCCTGTGATCAGAGTCCTTCTTCATCATCGTCTTCATCAGTCCAGCAGGGTCTTTATTCAGTGCGACATTAATCCTCTTCCCCCTCCTTGTCAACGTTTCAATAAAGAGTCACTCAGTCACTCATCAGGAAATCTGCATCACAAAAACGTCCTTTACATGTCCAGACTTCTATTCTTCTTCCTCCTCCTCTTCATCTTCCTCCTCTTCCTCTTCATCTTCCTCAGCAGGTCAGAGTTCGAAGGCAGGGAAGCAGGAGGTCTCGGGGTTCTCCAGTTCCGACAGGAAGTACACAGTCCCAGCCATACCTGAGGAAACGGAGCAACAGGTGAGAGATTGATTTCAGCTGCGTTTTTATCTAACTATTCAAAGAGTTCTCTACAATCTGAAACTGCAGGGTGTCTCTATTCAGCATTCCACCAATAAATCACCAGACTAAGGACTTAGTACCCGACTTAGTACCCGACTTAGTACTGACATTGCAATGAGGATATAAGGGCGATGAATCATTGTGTCGTTATAATGAATGAAAGACATTGCAATGATCATGTGATATGAAGGAGGATCTGGTCCAGGTAGAATACACTTCCTCAAACTAACAAGTATGTTTTTCACACACTAAACACACATAGTGTTTCCTGCTTTTTCAATGAGTTGAGCCGCTGTGTTTATAAGCCCATATCCATGCCCAGATAGGGTATATATCAATATCAGTATTTATTGGGAGAAACCAAGTATTTCTATGTCAAATCTGACATTCAGCAGATATATAATAAAGTCAAAAGTCCAGCCGGTAGACGGGATTCTTTAATCGTCTGGTTTCTGACAAATACTTTTATTATGATTATATTCTCACATTTTCATTAAGAGTACTATAAGGGTGATATTTATGTAAAGATAGGCTTTATACCAAGATGTATTGGGAGAAACTAAGCAAGTATATGTCAAATCAGACATGAAGTATATATATATATATAGTGAAATAAAAGGTATAAATGTCTGCATCTCTAAATATACTGCATTTAGATAAGACACTGAAAGGCTTAACTACAGCGGACAACATTTAAAAGTAGGATCTTATTAACATTTAGTGTTTGATTACCTCAGGGTTATTGATTTGAAATCCTAATTGAATTCAGTTTGCATTATGAGACACATTTCTCATGTATCCTCTGCTGGTGTTTGTTTCTGACGGACCGACTGCTCTCATCACAGAGCTGCTGCTGCTGCTGCATGGATCTACAGATGATACGATCACATTTGAACGGAGGTGTTTGAAAGAGTTTTACCCTCGAACAGAGAGTAGGGTCTGTCTGGGATCCGGCAGCCGTGAGTCCCGTAGTCCAGACACCACTCTGCAAACTGAGGAAAACACACATTAAGGGCCTCGTTTAGTCTGATTACAGAATAACATGTTCTTACCGGACCCTTCATTACGTTCACATGCCCACCTTCTGCTTTTAAACCCTGCTACTGGCAGTATGTGTACTGGTGTCCCGATGCATGCCTGCCGTCTCTTTATATCAAATGCACTTATCTTTAATCGCTATATATTTTCCGCTGCAGGACGAATGAAGGATTCTGATTGGGCGAAGTAAGTGAAAGCATTTAAAGGCCGCCCCCCCTCACCTCACTGTAATAGACCTATCGCTAAACCACGCCCCAAATAGAATTTGTCCAATCATATCACAGCGAAAATCCCTCCTGACAGAAAACTCGGACATCACCAGAAAAGCCGATCGAAACCACTGTGAAGAGTTCAGTTTCTATGTTTATTATCTAGCTAATATCTGATGGTGAAACGCTGTGCGTGGGGTACCTGTAATTCGGACACCAGGTACCCTGAAAGACTGGATGGAGGAGTATATTTCGTACCTTTTCCGAAGCCCAAAAGAAAACTCGACAAATGCAAGCGGTGGATTATGCTGTGTCGTCAACCACATACACAACTGAATGTGAAGACAATTATCAAGGACACTTATGTTTGCTCAAAGGTAAGGTCAATTCATAAAGACATCATATTTGACGGTATGTATTAGAAACGTAGACCAAACTATTAGTTTGCTAACGATTGACTTTGACTGCCAACTAGCTAGCGTATATCCAGCCCAGCTAGCTAACGTTAGCTGCCAACTTGTTAGCCAGCTAACTAGCTACAGTGTTATCAACATCAACGTTTGCTGTCTGACTTTTCGTCCTCGCTAGTTAGCTGGTGTTTTTAGTTAACTTTTGCTAACTGTCTTTTCACCTCAAAGCACTTCAGAGATGGGAAGCCAACTCTGGAATATCAGATCCCATCCGGGCTCTCGTGTGTGCTGCTCCGAAAAGACACAGACCCTCACCCAAAAAAAGGTAACGCTACAGTCAGCCAGGTGCATAACAGTGAACATGATGACCAACAAGGACAGTTATAGTTATAGATTTAATGTAGTGACCACCACTGCTAACATTCAACATCATATTATCATTTCAATGGTTACACAACAGTCACCACTACACACGACAGGCAACAAGATTAGATATTTTATATAAAGAAATACATGGCTACCTTTTTACTCTTGCTTTTAACTGTTAACTTTCATCTGCTGTTGCTTTTATTAGCTCTTGCTTCTATTTTAATGTTATTTTAACTTGAACTCCCCCCGCGGCCATTGTCAAGAGTCATTCACGGTCGGCTTTGTTTGTCCGAGTTTTCAAAGGGGGCGTGGCTTAGCGATAGGTCTATTGACTTGACATGTCACACGCATCTACAACTCCTCCTACAGAAACCCTCTGGGACCCTGATGGGTTTCTCTGCCAGACTCTAAAGTGGAATGAGTGTTGCAGCGCTGCAGGACGAGAGCCAGAAGCCGGCATGATGGATTGTTTGCTAATGCAGCTGCATGTTAGCAAAAAGCTGAATTGTGATTTTCTGATAAGATGTTCTCTTTCTTCACTAACTTTGGTTCACAGCGCTGCAGGACTGAGACTTAGTTCTGCAAAACATCAGAAACACTGGTCACAGAAAAATGCCCGTCATCAAAAAAAACATTCTGGAAGATGCAGGGTTAATAATACATCCGAGTCTCCTGCTGAAACGCCCGAGACTGCAGCTCGTAGGCATATTTATCTTTAGAAAACACAAGTCAAATCAAGCAATCTGATTTGTTCGTGATATAATGAGCGTATACCACGGGTAGAATTGTAGTTACTTTTCACAACAAGTCAGTATCCCTCCGCGTCTGAGAAAAGCAACAACCGTTACAGCTGCTACATGACGTTAGGAAACTAACTAACTAAGCTTAAAAACATGTTAGGGATAATTAAGCAATAGCTCACGACACGTGGTATATGCTCATTATGCGAGTTATCAGGGGGTTGTCTTCGCGTCGGGCCGAACCACGCCCCTTAGCTGTGAGATAATGAGCATATATCACGGCCTGAAGTGAGCTATTGCTTTTATAAAACGGTTACCAAGCAGAGAGATGATGAGCGTTAGTGGCCACAGGTGCAAAGTCTCTCCAGAGCTGCTGGAAGCTGACTCTCGGGGACCGGAGAAAGTGGAGCAATATTCTCTCCACGCCGAGCAACAGTCAGAACAGAGGAATTCAACTGAAACTCAACGAGGTCCAGTTAGAGAAAATGTGCCCATGCAAAGCTCCGGAACATCAACATGTCTACGTTGCTTCATGAAGTAGTGTGATATTGAAGTAGCTTTATCAACGTCTGCATGTCATCAACAGCTGACTGCCAATCAAATAAAGAAAGTACAATTTAAAAACAACAATATTTATTGTCACTGAACATTGAACTTTACAGATATACAGTAAATACTGTGGATATGTGTAATGTTCCTCTCGGGCTGCATTTACAAATAAAATAGAGAAAATAAATAGCTTTTGAAAATGTGTGCATCTTAAAAGTGCTTAATTTTAGATAAATAAAATAAAGTAGCAGCAGCTTGAGTTTCCCTTTTTCTTTGTTAACCGTTTCACATCATGACTTCACAGTTTCAGACGATTATAGAACAATATCAGTCTTTACATCATAACAACTGAACAGTTTTAAAGTTTCTCTTTCTGTCCCTCTTATATTGCAGCCCCTCTGCAGGTGCTCATTGGTTAGCCTCGGTTATCTCATTGGTTAGCTCATTGCTTAGCCTCGGTTAGCTCATTGCTTAGCCTCGGTTAGCTCATTGCTTAGCCTCGGTTAGCTCATTGGTTAGCCTCGGTTAGCTCATTGGTTAGCCTCGGTTAGCTCATTGGTTAGCCTCGGTTAGCTCATTGGTTAGCCTCGGTTAGCTCATTGGTTAGCCTCGGTTAGCTCATTGGTTAGCCTCGGTTAGCTCATTGGTTAGCTCATTGGTTAGCCTCGGTTAGCTCATTGGTTAGCCTGGGTTAGCTCATTGGTTAGCCTCGGTTAGCTCATTGGTTAGCCTCGGTTAGCTCATTGGTTAGCCTCGGTTAGCTCATTGGTTAGCTCATTGGTTAGCTCATTGTTTAGCCTCGGTTAGCTCATTGGTTAGCCTCGGTTAGCTCATTGGTTAGCTCATTGGTTAGCTCATTGTTTAGCCTCGGTTAGCTCATTTCGGTTAGCTCATTGGTTAGCCTCGGTTAGCTCATTGGTTAGCCTCGGTTAGCTCATTGGTTAGCCTCGGTTAGCTCATTGTTTAGCCTCGGTTAGCTCATTGGTTAGCCTCGGTTAGCTCATTGGTTAGCCTGGGTTAGCTCATTGGTTAGCCTCGGTTAGCTCATTGGTTAGCCTGGGTTAGCTCATTGGTTAGCCTGGGTTAGCTCATTGGTTAGCCTCGGTTAGCCTGCCCTGGAACCATATTTAGTTTTAATGTTGATCCTGGTGGACTGATCATATCGGGCTCTGAGGCTGCTCATCTGACCTCAGTTCTGACTTGAGAGGGAACGTTTGGTCAAACACTTGGTGTTTTGTCTCATAGTGGCACGTTGTCTCTTTTAATGAGCGCCACGGTCTCTGAACAAATGAGACACACTGGCTCTGAGCTCCCAGTGGGCAGGATGAACATGAACGAGTCCACTCAGGGTTCAAAGCTCTGTTCTCACTGTCCAAGTTCCTCTTCTTGGAGAGCGCCATGTGTAATTATGTGTCTCTCCCTCTCAGTCTTCTCTCCCTGTATCGCTAATTATTCTCTTCACTCACTTTCCTCTCCGCTTCTCTCTGCCGCGCTCTCATCTCTTCTTCTGTGTTTCTCTCCCTGTATCGCTCACTCCTCTCTGTCGCCCCCTGTCGGCAGCGGTTAAAATACGTCAAAATTGAAATCCCCTATTAATGTATTGATTATAGGTCCGGGTCCGTATAGGTCGGCATCTGGGTCCGGATCCGGACCGCGGTCCGCCTGTTGCCGACCCCTGGCCCAGAACAACCTCAACCTATACAAGTGGCCTCGTAAGCCATGCCCACTGATGCTGGACAGGTTTTCAGTGGCTGCACAATAAACGGCAACATTAATGTAAATAAATAGCCAAATAATGGATCAACGCTCTCTGTTCGCTAGCTGTTAGTGTTGTTGCCCAGCAACCAGCTCGCACTATGTTTCGTCCAGAAGGCAACGGAGGGACTATTTTATTTTGAACATCATTATTTACTAATAAAAACTGTTTAAATTAGAGTGTGTATTTTTCTTTCATATTGCCATATATATATCTATATGTATATACATATAGATAGATATATATATAGATATATTTAAATGTCCTCACCTTGCAGGCCCTGAACAGGTACTTCCTCTCCTTCGTCCTCCGGTACAGGGACAGGAAGATGAATCCGTTCCCTGCCGTGCCGTGGCAGAGTCCGTATCCTTTCCTCAGGAAACCTCTCTGCCAGATCACCTCCGAGCAGTCTGACGCCTCCTTCAGGTACTTCTCCTCCTGGAACACCTGAGAGCGGGACAGGTGAGAGACAGACAGGTGAGACCTTCAGGTACTTCTCCTCCTGGAACACCTGAGAGAGGGACAGGTGAGAGACAGACAGGTGAGACCTTCAGGTACTTCTCCTCCTGGAACACCTGAGAGAGGGACAGGTGAGAGACAGAGAGGTGAGAGACAGACAGGTGAGAGACAGACAGGTGAGAGAGAGACAGGTGAGAGACAGACAGGTGAGAGACAGACAGGTGAGAGAGAGACAGGTGAGACCTTCCGGTACTTCTCCTCCTGGAACACCTGAGAGAGGGACAGGTGAGAGACAGAGAGGTGAGAGACAGGTGACAGGTGAGAGAGGTGAGAGAGAGACAGGTGAGAGAGAGACAGGTGAGAGACAGACAGGTGAGAGACAGACAGGTGAGAGAGAGACAGGTGAGAGAGAGACAGGTGAGAGACAGACAGGTGAGAGACAGACAGGTGAGAGACAGACAGGTGAGAGAGAGACAGGTGAGAGACAGACAGGTGAGAGAGAGAGAGACAGGTGAGAGACAGACAGGTGAGATACAGACAGGTGTGAGAGAGAGAGACAGGTGAGAGACAGACAGGTGAGAGAGAGACAGGTGAGAGAGAGACAGGTGAGAGACAGACAGGTGAGAGAGAGAGAGACAGGTGAGAGAGAGACAGGTGAGAGAGAGACAGGTGAGAGACAGACAGGTGAGAGACAGACAGGTGAGAGAGAGACAGGTGAGAGACAGACAGGTGAGAGACAGACAGGTGAGAGAGAGAGAGACAGGTGAGAGACAGACAGGTGAGAGAGAGAGAGACAGGTGAGAGACAGACAGGTGAGATACAGACAGGTGAGAGAGAGAGAGACAGGTGAGAGACAGACAGGTGAGATACAGACAGGTGAGAGAGAGACAGGTGAGAGACAGACAGGTGAGAGAGAGACAGGTGTGAGAGAGACAGGTGAGAGAGAGACAGGTGAGAGAGAGACAGGTGAGAGAGAGACAGGTGAGAGAGAGACAGGTGAGAGAGAGACAGGTGAGAGACAGACAGGTGAGAGAGAGACAGGTGAGAGAGAGACAGGTGAGACCTTCAGGTACTTCTCCTCCTGGAACACCTGAGAGACAGAGAGGTGAGAGACACGAAACAGATGAGAGAGAGACAGGTGAGAGAGAGACAGGTGAGAGACAGACAGGTGAGACCTTCAGGTACTTCTCCTCCTGGAACACCTGAGAGCGGGACAGGTGAGAGACAGACAGGTGAGACCTTCAGGTACTTCTCCTCCTGGAACACCTGAGAGAGGGACAGGTGAGAGACAGAGAGGTGAGAGACAGACAGGTGAGAGACAGACAGGTGAGAGACAGACAGGTGAGAGAGAGACAGGTGAGAGACAGACAGGTGAGAGACAGACAGGTGAGAGAGAGACAGGTGAGACCTTCCAGTACTTCTCCTCCTGGAACACCTGAGAGAGGGACAGGTGAGAGACAGAGAGGTGAGAGACAGGTGACAGGTGAGAGAGAGAGAGGTGAGAGAGAGACAGGTGAGAGAGAGACAGGTGAGAGACAGACAGGTGAGAGACAGACAGGTGAGAGAGAGACAGGTGAGAGAGAGACAGGTGAGAGGGAGACAGGTGAGAGACAGACAGGTGAGAGACAGACAGGTGAGAGAGAGAGAGAGACAGGTGAGAGACAGACAGGTGAGAGACAGACAGGTGAGAGACAGACAGGTGAGAGAGAGACAGGTGAGAGAGAGACAGGTGAGAGAGAGACAGGTGAGACCTTCAGGTACTTCTCCTCCTGGAACACCTGAGAGACAGAGAGGTGAGAGACACGAAACAGATGAGAGAGAGACAGGTGAGAGAGACAGGTGAGAGAGAGACAGGTGAGAGACAGACAGGTGAGAGAGAGACAGGTGAGAGACAGACAGGTGAGAGAGAGACAGGTGAGAGACAGACAGGTGAGACCTTCAAGTACTTCTCCTCCTGGAACACCTGAGAGACAGAGAGGTGAGAGAGAGACAGGTGAGAGAGAGAGACAGGTGAGAGACAGACAGGTGAGAGACAGACAGGTGAGAGACAGACAGGTGAGAGAGAGACAGGTGAGAGAGACAGGTGAGAGAGACAGGTGAGAGACAGACAGGTGAGAGACAGACAGGTGAGAGACAGACAGGTGAGAGACAGACAGGTGAGAGACAGACAGGTGAGAGAGAGACAGGTGAGAGAGACAGGTGAGAGAGACAGGTGAGACAGACAGGTGAGAGAGACAGGTGAGAGAGACAGGTGAGAGACAGACAGGTGAGAGAGACAGGTGAGAGAGACAGGTGAGAGAGACAGGTGAGAGACAGACAGGTGAGAGACAGACAGGTGAGAGACATGCATATAGATGTGAAACCACAAGTTGATAACATGTGAGATGCTGACAGTCTGTTGAAGCTAACCTTCTTGTGTACGATATGCCTCCTGTCATCCTGTGCGTTGTGCAGGAGAGACCTGAGTGAGACGTCTACTTTGAGCCCATGCTTGTTCATGCTTTGACTTCTCGTCGTCCTTAATACTGTGAAGCACACTGGCTTCCTAGCATCCAGACTGCTTTCAACACAATCTATATTAAGAGATCAAACAACATTTTGACCTTAAGATTTCTATTCCCAGCTCTGCATGCCACTCTAAATGCAACGCAATTGCAGACAGACTTGTATCCACGTTTCTGTTAGTAGTGTTCTCAAGAAGCAGATTGTTGTTTCTCTCCCCGCATGCTAGAGGTCATTTCCACGATGCTGTCATTATAGAACACAACGTTACACCGTGCATCGTCTCATCGTCTCTGTTTAACTCTCAGGCATGACAAACTGTCTCAACCTGATCGTGCCTCATTTTAATTATTCATTAGCAAAATGAAATGCTCTTCATGCAACAACAACAACAACAACAGAAGAGACAGTGATCAGCTTTGTTCTCAGAGAGAGAGGGTGTGTGTGTGTGTGTGTGTGTGTGTGTGTGTGTGTGTGTGTGTGTGTGTGTGTGTGTGTGTGTGTGTGTGTGTGTGTGTGTGTGTGTGTGTGTCTAGGCTGTTAAGATGAATGGCTGGTGTTCCGTGAGGAGGATTTATAAACTCCCTCTTTGTCATAATCTCCTCACAAGCTCTGCAGAGACTTGATGAAGAGTGTGTTTACGTGTGTGTACGGCAGGTACCTCAACTGGTGGGTCATGAGGAGTGTGTGTACAGGTGATAGTGTGTGTACAGGTGTGTGTACAGGTATCTCACCTGGTGGGCCATCAGCAGTGTGTGTACAGGTGTATGTACAGGTGTGTGTACAGCAGGTGTCTCATCTGGTGGGCCATCAGCAGTGTGTGTAGAGGTGTATGTACAGGTGTGTGTACAGCAGGTGTCTCACCTGGTGGGCCATCAGCAGTGTGTGTACAGGTGTATGTACAGGTGTGTGTACAGCAGGTGTCTCACCTGGTGGAACATCAGCAGTGTGTGTAGAGGTGTATGTACAGGTGTGTGTACAGCAGGTGTCTCATCTGGTGGGCCATCAGCAGTGTGTGTAGAGGTGTATGTACAGCAGGTGTCTCACCTGTTGGGCCATCAGCAGTGTGCGTACAGGTGTGTGTACAGCAGGTGTCTCACCTGGAGGGCCATCAGCAGTGTGTACAGGTGTGTGTACAGCAGGTGTCTCACCTGGTGGGCCATCAGCAGTGTGTGTATGACCCCCGGCGCTCCGTGGCACCACTGAACCAATCGGTCGCTCTCGTTGCTCAGAGACGACGGGAAATTCCCCGAACGAAACTTCTTATGACGAACGTAATCGATGCTCGGACGAACGAACTCTGAGAGAACATCAGCCGGGACTCTGGCTCCAGGCTGAGAGAGAGAGAGATACATTTTATATATATTATATTTTGTATTCATGTATATGAATTAAATGAGTGTGTTCCTTGCTTAATGTTACATTTGAGCAGTTTATATTATATGTACTTGTGTATAGATGTAGCAACTATACACAGCGTTAGCGATAATATGTGTAACTATGGTCATGCTGTTAAAGCTATTGCATTGAATTGATGCATGTTTTATTTGTTGTACATCTTGCGTGTTGTGTTACCTGTATATCAGGTGTTACCAGGTGTTACCTGTAGATCAGGTGTTATCAGGTGTTACCAGGTGTTACCTGTAGATCAGGTGTTACCAGGTGTTACCTGTAGATCGGGTGTTACCAGGTGTTACCTGTAGATCAGGTGTTACCCGTAGATCAGGTGTTACCAGGTGTTACCCGTAGATCAGGTGTTACCAGGTGTTACCTGTAGATCAGGTGTTACCCGTAGATCAGGTGTTACCAGGTGTTACCCGTAGATCAGGTGTTACCCGTAGATCAGGTGTTACCAGGTGTTACCCGTAGATCAGGTGTTACCAGGTGTTACCCGTAGATCAGGTGTTACCCGTAGATAAGGTGTTACCAGGTGTTACCTGTAGATCAGGTGTTACCCGTAGATCAGGTGTTACCAGGTGTTACCTGTAGATCAGGTGTTACCCGTAGATCAGGTGTTACCAGGTGTTACCCGTAGATCAGGTGTTACCAGGTGTTACCTGTAGATCAGGTGTTACCCGTAGATCAGGTGTTACCAGGTATTACCCGTAGATCAGGTGTTACCCGTAGATCAGGTGTTACCAGGTGTTACCCGTAGATCAGGTGTTACCTGTAGATCAGGTGTTACCCGTAGATCAGGTGTTACCTGTAGATCAGGTGTTACCAGGTGTTACCTGTAGATCAGGTGTTACCCGTAGATCAGGTGTTACCAGGTGTTACCCGTAGATCAGGTGTTACCAGGTGTTACCTGTAGATCAGGTGTTACCCGTAGATCAGGTGTTACCAGGTGTTACCCGTAGATCAGGTGTTACCAGGTGTTACCCGTAGATCAGGTGTTACCCGTAGATCAGGTGTTACCCGTAGATCAGGTGTTACCTGTAGATCAGGTGTTACCAGGTGTTACCTGTAGATCAGGTGTTACCCGTAGATCAGGTGTTACTTGTAGATCAGGTGTTACCAGGTGTTACCTGTAGATCAGGTGTTACCCGTAGTTCAGGTGTTACCAGGTGTTACCCGTAGACCAGGTGTTACCCGTAGATCAGGTGTTACCAGGTGTTACCCGTAGATCAGGTGTTACCTGTAGATCAGGTGTTACCAGGTGTTACCTGTAGATCAGGTGTTACCCGTAGATCAGGTGTTACCCGTAGATCAGGTGTTACCAGGTGTTACCAGGTGTTACCCGTAGATCAGGTGTTACCAGGTGTTACCTGTAGATCAGGTGTTACCCGTAGATCAGGTGTTACCAGGTGTTACCCGTAGAACAGGTGTTACCAGGTGTTACCTGTAGATCAGGTGTTACCTGTAGATCAGGTGTTACCAGGTGTTACCTGTAGATCAGGTGTTACCTGTAGATCAGGTGTTACCCGTAGATCAGGTGTTACCAGGTGTTACCCGTAGATCAGGTGTTACCTGTAGATCAGGTGTTACCAGGTGTTACCCGTAGATCAGGTGTTACCAGGTGTTACCCGTAGATCAGGTGTTACCAGGTGTTACCTGTAGATCAGGTGTTACCTGTAGATCAGGTGTTACCAGGTGTTACCTGTAGATCAGGTGTTACCTGTAGATCAGGTGTTACCCGTAGATCAGGTGTTACCAGGTGTTACCCGTAGATCAGGTGTTACCTGTAGATAAGGTGTTACCAGGTGTTACCCGTAGATCAGGTGTTACCAGGTGTTACCCGTAGATCAGGTGTTACCTGTAGATCAGGTGTTACCAGGTGTTACCCGTAGATCAGGTGTTACCAGGTGTTACCTGTAGATCAGGTGTTACCAGGTGTTACTTGTAGATCAGGTGTTACCAGGTGTTACCTGTAGATCAGGTGTTACCTGTAGATCAGGTGTTACCTGTAGATCAGGTGTTACCAGGTGTTACCTGTAGATCAGGTGTTACCTATAGATCAGGTGTTACCAGGTGTTACCTGTAGATCAGGTGTTACCTGTAGATCAGGTGTTACCCGTAGATCAGGTGTTACCAGGTATTACCCGTAAATCAGGTGTTACCCGTAGATCAGGTGTTACCTGTAGATCAGGTGTTACCCGTAGATCAGGTGTTACCAGGTATTACCCGTAGATCAGGTGTTACCCGTAGATCAGGTATTACCCGTAGATCAGGTGTTACCAGGTATTACCCGTAAATCAGGTGTTACCCGTAGATCAGGTGTTACCTGTAGATCAGGTGTTACCTGTAGATCAGGTGTTACCAGGTATTACCCGTAAATCAGGTGTTACCCGTAGATCAGGTGTTACCTGTAGATCAGGTGTTACCCGTAGATCAGGTGTTACCCGTAGATCAGGTGTTACCAGGTATTACCCGTAAATCAGGTGTTACCCGTAGATCAGGTGTTACCTGTAGATCAGGTGTTACCCGTAGATCAGGTGTTACCCGTAGATCAGGTGTTACCTGTAGATCAGGTGTTACCAGGTATTACCCGTAGATCAGGTGTTACCTGTAGATCAGGTGTTACCTGTAGATCAGGTGTTACCAGGTATTACCCGTAGATCAGGTGTTACCAGATGTTACCTGTAGATCAGGTGTTACCTGTAGATCAGGTGTTACCAGATGTTACCTGTAGATCAGGTGTTACCTGTAGATCAGGTGTTACCTGCAGCAGCATGTAGAAGATGCCAGTGAGCCCATGAGCCGCTCCCAGGTACTGCTTCCTGTGCCACTCGTACAGCAGAGGACAGCGCTCCGTCTTCTTCTGGTCCTGAGAGAGAGACTTCCCCGAGTCCAGGATCGCAGACACCACCTGAACACACAGAGAGAAGGGTGAGAGAGTGTGTGTGTGTGTGTATGATGTCCCCACAGTGAGTGAGTAACAGAAAGGAAAAGTGTTGTGTTGATGCAGCAGAGTTACAGATATAAAATGGAGCCTCCTTATATACGCACCCTTCACTGTTATACATCCTAATACACACACACACACACGAAGAAGAAATGAAAATTGTCAGAGATGCTTTAAGAGTCTAGTATGTGTATGCGTGTGTGTGTGTGTGTGTCTCACCTGTGTGATGGTGCTCTCCTCCACTGTGTGCTCTCCCATCTCTCTGTTGACGTACAGCAGAGCGAACAGGAAGCCAGCGCGACCGTATAGGAGTTCATCAGAGAGGTCAGAGTCACTGAGGACTGAACTCTGGAGGAGCACCAGCCTACACACACACACACACACACACACACACACACACACACACACACACACACACACACACACACACACACACACACACACACACACACACACACACACACACACACACACACACACACACACACACACACACACACACACACACACACACACACACACACACACACACACACACACACACACACACACACACACACTAAATAACTCTCCTATCATGCAAAATGCACTTTCTATGTCTTGTCAACGTGTGTCCCCTCCGGTGTGTCCCCGGTGTGTCCCCGGTGTGTCCCCGGTGTGTCCCCGGTGTGTCCCCGGTGTGTCCCCGGTGTGTCCCCGGTGTGTCCCCGGTGTGTCCCCGGTGAGTCAGGAGACTCTCAAAGTATCAGGAAATAAACCCCTCTCTCTTTTCCTCCGTACCCACATCTCTAAAAACGGGGAACAACGGAGCTGATCCAGATTTGCTGCGTCATGACCACATTACTAAAATGTGGACGGGCTTTACCCCCACGGGCCAATCAGAAACGTTGCTGTCAGAAACAATGAGACGTGTTCTGGAAGTAATATGGTCTGTGTTTACATTAGCATATTAACACTCAGAGCTAACCTGTGCTGGAGAGAGTGTGTGTGAAGAAGCAGGAAATCAAAAGGAACTGATCTGTGATCTGTTTGGTATTTTGAGCAAAACACTTCAGAGACATGTTTTTAAATACATGCCTAAAACAGCACAATAGGAGCCTTTAACCCCAGGTGTCCTCTCACCTGTTCAGGCAGTCCTGGCTCTCCTCAGTGTTCCTCAGCTTGTGATGAACCACAGCTCCCACAGCCAGAGGGCCTGCATCTCCACACAGGAAGGAGACCTTACGCCCGTTCAGGATCCGGAGGGTTCGCTTCACGTAGTCCAGCGCCCTCTGCAGGTGGGAGGATTCCTGGGAGCAGCGGTGCAGCTGCAGGTACAGCAGGGCGATGCCTGCAGACAACACTCAGGGGTTAGATTAGTATTTACAGTCTAAGATAATAATAATAATAATAATAATAATAATAATAGACGGTGTTGAGATCTCCATATTAGGATGAATACTTAAAACGAAAGTTAGTTATAATCAAATATAATAAATTATATTCTTGTATAACCCACAATGAAAATGCTTCATATTTTAGGTTTTTCTATATTTACAGTATAAACCAAGTGGTTTGTTAAGTTGAGTGTGAGGCCTATAATGATTTATGGGTGTCACTGATAAGGGAGAAGGCAGTTTCTTCCCTCTCCCCTCACAGCAGTACACCGGGAGGGGGGCTCCTGACTTAGGGAGAAACACACTAAGGCCTCAAAAAGGAGGTTATGTCATAGCCGAGAATAATATTTTGCAAGTCCTGCAGAGTAGGGGTCATGACCTTTTTACACAACCATGGGAAGGTGTGTCTTATGCCATAGAATATGTCTAGTCACGTCCAGTCCTGGACATCAGAGGCCATGCCCAGTTTCCACAAATATGGGCATGGAGGAAGTGTCTTAGGTTTCTATATCCTGTTGTTGAGCATAAAGACACTGGCCCTTTCTCCTCGACTCCTCGGTCCTCCGGTAGTGACCCGGAAATGGATTTTAGCGCTCCATGTTGAAGGACATCTCATTTCTCTAAATGCACATCGAGGATCGAGGATCGAGGAGGCTCTCTGGAGGAGCTCTAACCGAGGATACACTGATGGCTCCTCCTCGGCTCCTTCGTGGATGCATTTCCGGGAACAGAGATGTTTCAAAGAGTCGTGACGCACGGCCGGACTGATCTCAGCCAATCACAGCTCTGCATGCATCCCCTAGATATTATTTTATTAACTGCTCTCATCGCGACACGATGTTTCCAGAGAGAACAGCTGAGAGGTCCGTGCAGAAAGCAGAGCAGTGTGTATAATATATATCACTCAGTAGAACAGGCCGACTCTCTTTGCTTTAGTTTAGTAGATATCTACAAACAAAGAGTCCAGATGTTTCTAAGAGCATTTAGTGCTTCACAAAATAAAATACACAACGGCTTCAGCCTGATGATGCTTTAGGACAGTGGTTCTCAACTGGTGGGTCGCGACCCAAAAGTGGGTCTCTCTCTGTAAGCTCCGTCCCTCAGAGCTGGGTTAATAGCTCTCGGTAAGGTTCTCTCAGAGCTGGGTTAATAGCTCTCTGTAAGGTTCTCTCAGAGCTGGGTTAATAGCTCTCTGTAAGGTTCTCTCAGAGCTGGGTTAATAGCTCTCGGTAAGGTTCTCTCAGAGCTGGGTTAATAGCCCTCTGTAAGGTTCTCTCAGAGCTGGGTTAATAGCTCTCTGTAAGGTTCTCTCAGAGCTGGATTAATAGCTCTCTGTAAGGTTCTCTCAGAGCTGGGTTAATAGCTCTTGGTAAGGTTCTCTCAGAGCTGGGTTAATAGCTCTCTGTAAGGTTCTCTCAGAGCTGGGTTAATAGCTCTCGGTAAGGTTCTCTCAGAGCTGGGTTAATAGCTCTCTGTAAGGTTCTCTCAGAGCTGGGTTAATAGCTCTCGGTAAGGTTCTCTCAGAGCTGGGTTAATAGCTCTCGGTAAGGTTCTCTCAGAGCTGGGTTAATAGCTCTCGGTAAGGTTCTCTCAGAGCTGGGTTAATAGCTCTCTGTAAGGTTATCTCAGAGCTGGGTTAATAGCTCTCGGTAAGGTTCTCTCAGAGCTGGGTTAATAGCTCTCGGTAAGGTTCTCTCAGAGCTGGTTAATAGCTCTCTGTAAGGTTCTCTCAGAGCTGGATTAATAGCTCTCTGTAAGGTTCTCTCAGAGCTGGGTTAATAGCTCTCGGTAAGGTTCTCTCAGAGCTGGGTTAATAGCTCTCTGTAAGGTTCTCTCAGAGCTGGATTAATAGCTCTCGGTAAGGTTCTCTCAGAGCTGGGTTAATAGCTCTCTGTAAGGTTCTCTCAGAGCTGGATTAATAGCTCTCGGTAAGGTTCTCTCAGAGCTGGGTTAATAGCTCTCGGTAAGGTTCTCTCAGAGCTGGGTTAATAGCGCTCTGTAAGGTTCTCTCAGAGCTGGGTTAATAGCTCTCTGTAAGGTTCTCTCAGAGCTGGGTTAATAGCTCTCTGTAAGGTTCTCTCAGAGCTGGGTTAATAGCTCTCTGTAAGGTTCTCTCAGAGCTGGGTTAATAGCTCTCTGTAAGGTTTTCTCAGAGCTGGATTAATAGCTCTCGGTAAGGTTCTCTCAGAGCTGGGTTAATAGCTCTCGGTAAGGTTCTCTCAGAGCTGGGTTAATAGCTCTCTGTAAGGTTCTCTCAGAGCTGGGTTAATAGCTCTCTGTAAGGTTCTCTCAGAGCTGGGTTAATAGCTCTCTGTAAGGTTCTCTCAGAGCTGGGTTAATAGCTCTCTGTAAGGTTCTCTCAGAGCTGGGTTAATAGCTCTCTGTAAGGTTCTCTCAGAGCTGGGTTAATAGCTCTCTGTAAGGTTCTCTCAGAGCTGGGTTAATAGCTCTCGGTAAGGTTCTCTCAGAGCTGGGTTAATAGCTCTCTGTAAGGTTCCCTCAGAGCTGGGTTAATAGCTCTCGGTAAGGTTCTCTCAGAGCTAGGTTAATAGCTCTCTGTAAGGTTCTCTCAGAGCTGGGTTAATAGCTCTCGGTAAGGTTCCCTCAGAGCTGGGTTAATAGCTCTCTGTAAGGTTCTCTCAGAGCTGGGTTAATAGCTCTCGGTAAGGTTCTCTCAGAGCTGGGTTAATAGCTCTCTGTAAGGTTCTCTCAGAGCTGGGTTAATAGCTCTCTGTAAGGTTCTCTCAGAGCTGGGTTAATAGCTCTCGGTAAGGTTCTCTCAGAGCTGGGTTAATAGCTCTCGGTAAGGTTCTCTCAGAGCTGGGTTAATAGCTCTCTGTAAGGTTCTCTCAGAGCTGGTTAATAGCTCTCTGTAAGGTTCCCTCAGAGCTGGGTTAATAGCTCTCGGTAAGGTTCTCTCAGAGCTGGGTTAATAGCTCTCGGTAAGGTTCTCTCAGAGCTGGGTTAATAGCTCTCTGTAAGGTTCTCTCAGAGCTGGTTAATAGCTCTCGGTAAGGTTCTCTCAGAGCTGGGTTAATAGCTCTCTGTAAGGTTCCCTCAGAGCTGGGTTAATAGCTCTCGGTAAGGTTCTCTCAGAGCTGGGTTAATAGCTCTCTGTAAGGTTCTCTCAGAGCTGGGTTAATAGCTCTCTGTAAGGTTCTCTCAGAGCTGGGTTAATAGCTCTCTGTAAGGTTCCCTCAGAGCTGGGTTAATAGCTCTCTGTAAGGTTCTCTCAGAGCTGGGTTAATAGCTCTCTGTAAGGTTCTCTCAGAGCTGGGTTAATAGCTCTCTGTAAGGTTCCCTCAGAGCTGGGTTAATAGCTCTCTGTAAGGTTCTCTCAGAGCTGGGTTAATAGCTCTCTGTAAGGTTCTCTCAGAGCTGGGTTAATAGCTCTCTGTAAGGTTCTCTCAGAGCTGGGTTAATAGCTCTCTGTAAGGTTCCCTCAGAGCTGGGTTAATAGCTCTCGGTAAGGTTCTCTCAGAGCTGGGTTAATAGCTCTCTGTAAGGTTCTCTCAGAGCTGGGTTAATAGCTCTCGGTAAGGTTCTCTCAGAGCTGGGTTAATAGCTCTCTGTAAGGTTCTCTCAGAGCTGGATTAATAGCTCTCTGTAAGGTTCCCTCAGAGCTGGGTTAATAGCTCTCTGTAAGGTTCTCTCAGAGCTGGGTTAATAGCTCTCTGTAAGGTTCCCTCAGAGCTGGGTTAATAGCTCTCGGTAAGGTTCTCTCAGAGCTGGGTTAATAGCTCTCTGTAAGGTTCTCTCAGAGCTGGGTTAATAGCTCTCTGTAAGGTTCTCTCAGAGCTGGGTTAATAGCTCTCTGTAAGGTTCCCTCAGAGCTGGGTTAATAGCTCTCTGTAAGGTTCTCTCAGAGCTGGGTTAATAGCTCTCTGTAAGGTTCTCTCAGAGCTGGGTTAATAGCTCTCTGTAAGGTTCCCTCAGAGCTGGGTTAATAGCTCTCTGTAAGGTTCCTCTCAGAGCTGGGTTAATAGCTCTCTGTAAGGTTCTCTCAGAGCTGGGTTAATAGCTCTCTGTAAGGTTCTCTCAGAGCTGGGTTAATAGCTCTCTGTAAGGTTCCCTCAGAGCTGGGTTAATAGCTCTCGGTAAGGTTCTCTCAGAGCTGGGTTAATAGCTCTCTGTAAGGTTCTCTCAGAGCTGGGTTAATAGCTCTCGGTAAGGTTCTCTCAGAGCTGGGTTAATAGCTCTCTGTAAGGTTCTCTCAGAGCTGGATTAATAGCTCTCTGTAAGGTTCCCTCAGAGCTGGGTTAATAGCTCTCTGTAAGGTTCTCTCAGAGCTGGGTTAATAGCTCTCTGTAAGGTTCCCTCAGAGCTGGGTTAATAGCTCTCGGTAAGGTTCTCTCAGAGCTGGGTTAATAGCTCTCTGTAAGGTTCTCTCAGAGCTGGGTTAATAGCTCTCTGTAAGGTTCTCTCAGAGCTGGGTTAATAGCTCTCTGTAAGGTTCCCTCAGAGCTGGGTTAATAGCTCTCGGTAAGGTTCTCTTAGAGCTGGGTTAATAGCTCTCTGTAAGGTTCTCTCAGAGCTGGGTTAATAGCTCTCTGTAAGGTTCTCTCAGAGCTGGGTTAATAGCTCTCTGTAAGGTTCCCTCAGAGCTGGGTTAATAGCTCTCTGTAAGGTTCTCTCAGAGCTGGGTTAATAGCTCTCGGTAAGGTTCTCTCAGAGCTGGGTTAATAGCTCTCTGTAAGGTTCCCTCAGAGCTGGGTTAATAGCTCTCGGTAAGGTTCTCTCAGAGCTGGGTTAATAGCTCTCTGTAAGGTTCTCTCAGAGCTGGGTTAATAGCTCTCGGTAAGGTTCCCTCAGAGCTGGGTTAATAGCTCTCGGTAAGGTTCCCTCAGAGCTGGGTTAATAGCTCTCTGTAAGGTTCTCTCAGAGCTGGGTTAATAGCTCTCGGTAAGGTTCTCTCAGAGCTGGGTTAATAGCTCTCGGTAAGGTTCTCTCAGAGCTGGGTTAATAGCTCTCGGTAAGGTTCTCTCAGAGCTGGGTTAATAGCTCTCGGAAAGGTTCTCTCAGAGCTGGGTTAATAGCTCTCTGTAAGGTTCCCTCAGAGCTGGGTTAATAGCTCTCTGTAAGGTTCCCTCAGAGCTGGGTTAATAGCTCTCTGTAAGGTTCTCTCAGAGCTGGGTTAATAGCTCTCTGTAAGGTTCTCTCAGAGCTGGGTTAATAGCTCTCGGTAAGGTTCCCTCAGAGCTGGGTTAATAGCTCTCTGTAAGGTTCTCTCAGAGCTGGGTTAATAGCTCTCTGTAAGGTTCTCCTCAGAGCTGGGTTAATAGCTCTCGGTAAGGTTCTCTCAGAGCTGGGTTAATAGCTCTCTGTAAGGTTCTCTCAGAGCTGGGTTAATAGCTCTCTGTAAGGTTCTCTCAGAGCTGGGTTAATAGCTCTCGGTAAGGTTCCCTCAGAGCTGGGTTAATAGCTCTCGGTAAGGTTCCCTCAGAGCTGGGTTAATAGCTCTCTGTAAGGTTCTCTCAGAGCTGGGTTAATAGCTCTCGGTAAGGTTCTCTCAGAGCTGGGTTAATAGCTCTCGGTAAGGTTCTCTCAGAGCTGGGTTAATAGCTCTCGGAAAGGTTCTCTCAGAGCTGGGTTAATAGCTCTCGGAAAGGTTCTCTCAGAGCTGGGTTAATAGCTCTCTGTAAGGTTCCCTCAGAGCTGGGTTAATAGCTCTCTGTAAGGTTCCCTCAGAGCTGGGTTAATAGCTCTCTGTAAGGTTCCCTCAGAGCTGGGTTAATAGCTCTCTGTAAGGTTCTCTCAGAGCTGGGTTAATAGCTCTCGGTAAGGTTCTCTCAGAGCTGGGTTAATAGCTCTCGGTAAGGTTCCCTCAGAGCTGGGTTAATAGCTCTCTGTAAGGTTCTCTCAGAGCTGGGTTAATAGCTCTCGGTAAGGTTCCCTCAGAGCTGGGTTAATAGCTCTCGGAAAGGTTCTTTCAGAGCTGGGTTAATAGCTCTCTGTAAGGTTCCCTCAGAGCTGGGTTAATAGCTCTCGGTAAGGTTCTCTCAGAGCTGGGTTAATAGCTCTCTGTAAGGTTCCCTCAGAGCTGGGTTAATAGCTCTCTGTAAGGTTCCCTCAGAGCTGGGTTAATAGCTCTCTGTAAGGTTCCCTCACGGCCCGTCCACACAGCAGCTTTTGGCGATTTGTCCACCGCTTCCAGCGCGTCTCCGCCCATTGACTTTGAATGGGGATGACGTCACTTTCCCTCGCTTGTCGCCGAACTGCATTGTGGGGGGGCGAGGCGAAGATTTCCAGGATTTCCAGGATGTTCAGGATTCCAAAGTTGAACAATGTTCAACTTTTGAGGCTGAGCTGGAAGCGACAGCCAATCAGATCCGTTTATGCAAATCTGACAGTAGAAGCTCTAGCCAATCAAACCGCGTGTAAGCAGGGAGAGCCAGACCGCAGTTCATTTCCTCATATTCCAAATGAGAAATTACGGTAGCAAATCACCCGGTTCTTTACGACCAGAACTATTTACCGGGATACAAACCGGAGGAACCAGGCATGGAGGGAGGTGCCAGAGACAGTGGGTGAAACTGGTAGGTTTTCGCCTGTTTGGGGAGTTTATATATATATATATTGCTCGCATAAAATGCCCGTTTTTTTTTGCTTTGTATGTCGGGGGCGGGAGATTCATGTGATTGGTTGTTGGTTGTGTTGCTGGCAAAAAATCCCCAAGCTGTCAGACACGCCCAGCTCCAAGATTTTCAAGATTTGTTCAAAGCTGCTGTGTGGACGGGCCGTCAGAGCTGGGTTAATAGCTCTCGGTAAGGTTCCCTCAGAGCTGGGTTAATAGCTCTCTGTAAGGTTCTCTCAGAGCTGGGTTAATAGCTCTCTGTAAGGTTCCCTCAGAGCTGGGTTAATAGCTCTCGGTAAGGTTCTCTCAGAGCTGGGTTAATAGCTCTCTGTAAAGTTCCCTCAGAGCTGGGTTAATAGCTCTCTGTAAGGTTCTCTCAGAGCTGGGTTAATAGCTCTCGGTAAGGTTCTCTCAGAGCTGGGTTAATAGCTCTCTGTAAAGTTCCCTCAGAGCTGGGTTAATAGCTCTCTGTAAGGTTCTCTCAGAGCTGGGTTAATAGCTCTCTGTAAGGTTCTCTCAGAGCTGGGTTAATAGCTCTCTGTAAGGTTCCCTCAGAGCTGGTTAATAGCTCTTAGATCTCTGTGTATTGAATGCTGAGGGAATGGTTTAGATGAAAGTTTGAAACCTACCATTCTAAAATGTGTTGGGATTTTAGAACTAATTAGAGAACCTTCGTCACCACGAGGAAAGTCCTTTTGGATTTTGTCGGAAGACTTTAATGGGTGAACTATGAATTAAGGTTTCATATTAGAACATGATCACAGCATGATAGGTTTAGTATGATTATAATGTGTTAAAGAGAGAAGGTAAAAACCCTGTATTAGTTTGGACCTATTTTTCTTCAAATAAACTGATCCCACCTTTTGGACTGGGACAACTTCAAAGACATCTGCGCTCTCCTCTCCTGCTTCAAAGGTGAGACTGCACCCTGCCACACCCACACTTAGGTAGGGCCACACCTCATTTACTGATATCAAAATCCTTCGGGATCGCTTCAACAGATTTAGAGAGTCGTCTGAATTGAAACAGCAGTTAACTGAACCGGGTTCTTCAGGAGTTAGTAGAGATGAGATCTTGCTGACGTTGGTGGATCTGAGCCAAGCAGCAAACTGACAAAGACTCAATAACTTCGGTCAGGTCAGTTAGTAGGTCTGAGTCATTTCCCGGAATAAATGATCAGCTCCTCCCGACTCCTACAAAGGTCACATAAACACCTGAACTCTGAAAGAACATCCATAACATTCATCTGTTTGCAACTCTTACATATCAATATTCCAATGACTTGTATATAGACTCTTCTGCACTATTTCCATTATATTTTTATTTTATTTACTTATAGACACAACTCAGGGATTAGAGACGAGCAGGACGGCTTTATATTAGGACTTACAGTTAAATAACTACAAGAAACATCGACGGTCACATAACGGGTACAGCAGGGCGATGTCTGGAGACACAGGTTATGGCTATGATGGTATCAAAGCTCCGGCAGTGGCTCAGTCAGTAGGGCTTGGACTGTGAGCTGTAGGGTCGCCGCTTCAAGTCCCCGACCAGACCTAAAATATGGGGTGTGGACTGCTACTTGGAGAGGTCCCAGTTCACCTCCTGCCCTGCCGTGGTGCCCTTGAGCAAGGCACCGGACACCCCCTTGTACCATTTTCAGGCAATTTGTAATCTGTTCTAGAAAAACGATGTGATTTTGGATATTTGTGGAGTTAGGTGGTCCGCGAGTGTTTTTTATTGGTCAAGTGTCCTTGGTATGAAAAGGTTTGAGAAACACTGCTCTACAGGAAGGCCAGGGGGAAGACATGTTCTCGAGCGGGGTATCTGAGCACCCAACTGTTCTTTGTAGGGTGTGAGTTTTGCTTATTGTCTTATAGTGTCTTTGAGTTTCTAGAAAAGCGTTCTATAGACAGGATGACCACCTGGGCCCAAATGTTGTTGTGTTGTCGTGTCAATGTGTAGTAAAAAGAGCAATTCAACAACTACAGGAAACATAGGCGGTCACATCATTCATGTAAAATGTCCAATGCTTAGTGGGTTTTGATAGCAGTCGCCATATTGTTGATTCCTGGGGCTTTTATTTAGAGAAAGAACCGTTAAATCAAACTTCTTAGAACAAACGATGTGTGTGTTCACAGGTGTATGTGCGGACTCACCTGTCCAGCCGGTGTAGGTGGAGAAGTCGTGAGGGTCGGCTGTCTTCAGACCTTCCTCCATCTGCTGCAGCAGGTCTTTAATCTTACTCTGGACCTTCTTCTGGAAGGAAGCGCTCACCTGAGGAACATAGACAAGTTACAGACATGAAGCAATAAGCCTCTGCTCGAACTGCTTATATTCTGGACTACTATTTTAAATACCATGCTCTTTATCTAACAGTGGTCTTCACTTGGCTGTAACACTCCCCTCTGCAGGACTAATGAAGGATTCTGAAACCATAACAAACCTGAGCTAGCCCAGCTGTTAGCCTGTTAGCATGGTGTTAGCTCCTTAGCCTGTTAGCTCGTCGTTAACCCCGATATAAGGTGCTATAAAGCGGCTCCGGAGCTCCTCACCTGGCCCTCCTCGTCCAGCGGCTCGTTGGCTCTCTCCTCGGATCCAGAACCAGACCCTGCCTGGTCCACGTAGTCCTGGTTCTGGTTCTGGAAGAATCTCTGCTCCTCCATGTCTGATGAATTTAGCTGCTTCAGCTTAGACACCTGATCGCCCATCCTACGGGGGCCGAAGAGGGACATACAAAATAAATCGCGTTTTTTAGGAAATGCAGTTTATAGATTGAAAACTGACCACAGTTACTCAAATAAAACTCATAAGTCAATTTAAAATAAGTTATGATTTCGCAGCACTAATTCTATTTCAACATGTATATTTTCTATTTTCTTTTCTTGTTAATTTCTAGTTTTGTTTTATTGTAAAATGCCTTGTCTTTTATGCTGCAACAAAAACAATAAAGTACCATCTTATCTTATCTTATCTTACAGCTTTATTTTTACTTCAGATTTCATATTTAGCAGATTTCTCCTCAGAACATTAGTTGTTTCCATAAATCTCTTCTCTCGCACTATTCCATGTGTGTTCTGTGTTCTCTGGTCCGTGTCACGTGTCCATGTTGGAGGAGGACTTCCGTTTGTCATATCTCCACTGAAGCTGCTGAGCGCAGATGATCGCATATCAACGTCTCTCTGGGCAAACATCCCGAACACCGGTTTTATGTTTCCAGGATCAGATACACGTGTGTAGTTTGTTGAGCTTAACTTACAAATAGAAACTCACAAATGTCTCCTTGTGTAATACCTCGGCTTGAGACCGCAATGCTCACTCATCATCATTTTAAAAGCAGGCATATCATTTGTAATATCTGTGGTATTGTGAGCACATGGATATGCATCAAATAAAAACCGTATCAAGTGTTCACAATAAGACGATAATAATGCTGCTCTATCGATCTGCTCTCCAGACACTGCAGCATTGTTCCTGCAGGACGTTACAGATCTGCAGGTTGAATACAGCAGGAGGAGGAGGAGGAGGAGGAGGAGGAGGAGGAGGAGGAGGAGGAGGAGGAGGAGGAGGTTTCTTACCTTGATATCGGCAGTCTGTCTCTCAGCGGGGTTTCTGAGCTGTGGATCCGGGCTGCAGGCTCCTCTTTCCCGCAGCGGATCTCTGCATCCCCGCCTCTCCTCTGGTGGAGGATGAGAGAGGAGCGGAGTCACAGCATAGAGGAGGTGCAGGAGGAGAAGAAGGAGGTGCAGCAGAAAGGCATGCAGTAGGTTCAGAGGAGGAGCAGACTGCCATGTGTTTATTCTCTGCTTTGCATCCTCTCTTCCTCCGTAGCTCAACTTCACACAGACCGGCTGCAGGGGGAGGAGCCTCTTCCTCCTCTTCCTCCTCTTCCTCCTCTTCCTCTTC